GCAAGTATTACCGGAATTGGCTAATCCGTCTAGTAGTATTCTTAAAGTCCTTAAAAAGCTTCAAAGTAAACCAAACATGTACATTTACATATTATCTGATCATGGACATACGCACTTCGATCAATGGTTCGAATCAGTTGGAGTTGGGCTTTTCGCAGAACATGGATGCTATTATAAGCATTCTCGAGGAAAAGTAAATTCCATTAAAACTCGCATTTCAGATAAGAAAACAAAAAATGAAACTAATGGTTGATACAGACTTGTCGAAAATATCGACCCTACATGGAAGGGAATAATCTTGCCACTATTAGAACATTACAAGAAATGAACTCCGGGATCTTTTATTGAAGAGAAAGAGGTTAACATAGTATGAAATTATCAAAGTGCAGATCCTGAATTTGGAAATTGGCAGGCGATTGAACTTCAAGTTAACCTGGAGAAACTTTTAAGTTGTATATTTGGGACAGAGCTTAAGTATACATTATAGAGAGGGTGTGTGCTTATAGTTGTATAGAGAATGTGTACTTATAGTAGTATAGAGGGTACACTTATAAAAGTTTTATTATAGAACTTTTATATACTGGATCAAGAAGCTGAATTAAGAAAATGTCGATTGTACAACATCAAATAAATATAATATACTATTTTTTCTTTTTGTAATTTTATTTATTTTATATTTGAAAAGGCTATTTTTATGACTACTTACAGTAAATAATCATCTTTTTTTTTAATTTTCAGAGTATTTTTTAACTACTTTTTTATGTTGTCTCTTCGGTCACATCAATATCAATTGAATTATAAAGATTTCGAACTTGTTGCAAAATTAATAATAATTCTTCCTTTCTTTTTAACCTTAATCCCTTAAATTGTGGTCATTTGGTTTCATTTAAGGATTCAACTAATATTTCGATTGCAAATACTATTTCTTCTTTTTTTAATGAACTTTCGGCTGATTGTAATTGTGCTTCATCATAAGTAACAGAAATGGATCGGATAGATTCAAGACTAATTAAGTCAAGCTTTCCTTTAATATATTTTATACGTTAAGCTTGGACTTTATCACTAAAGGATTTCATTTGTACACTTAATTTATTATTCTTATCTAAATTATCAAAGCTATTATTTAGATTTGGATTTAGAAAACCCGTTTTTTTTAATTGAATTCGAAATCTTTGTAATTCCTCTTCATAGTCTGGACGGTTTTGTGGACCTGAATTTTCAGAATTTGTATATCCTATTATAGTGAACAATTTTTTTCGTAGCTATTAAAATAATATTTATTAGGAAGAAAAATATTAAGTATATTAAATAATAATAATATATTGTGTATTTTTATATTTATTATATTTATTCTTACCTTCATAAATTTTGTACAATTTCTTGCAGCCATTTCCCAATGCTTTTGAGCTGGTATAGGTAGGATCAGCATTTTTAATATCTTATTTACCTCTTCAAGTATAGCATCTAATCCCTGATGTTTATTTGACCTTCCTGATCGTGCTACAACAAAATTACATTTGATAATTTGACGAATCTCAGGACAAAGACGCATTAATTGTTCTTCATCAGCTACTTCAATTGCTTGGTAAATGGAATGTCATCTTGCAGACCAGATAGGAGCAAACATTCTACGTGCTGCCGATTTAAGCAGAGGTTGATTATATTTAACACTGGTATGAAGGTTTATAATTGCTTGTAGGTACCAAAAGATCTAGGCATAATCTAATATTAATAATTGGAATTTATAGTAAATTTAAATATTTATTACTAAATACTTGTTCATATTTTAATTTATACAATTCATTTTTTTGATTTTTTAGTTCAATCAAGAAAACCGTTAACAGATGGATTAAAGACTAAAGCAACGTATAGCCAAACCAATTCCATTGTCATTGCATATCAATAAATATTGCACACTGAATCCTATGCTTTATGATAATCAGCATATTTTTTAAAATAACCTAATTAATTTTCAGTTCTATATCCTTGGCATTGTGTGAAATCTCGTAAGTCAATGTTCCTGCGATATAAAGAAATCAGTTATATTGGTTAGTAATTTAATAATTAATTATTAAATAGGATGATGAATTTTTTACTATATTGTTACTAATATAATTTTTTTATTTATTACTAATTCAATTCCACGAAAGCTTTTAACATATTCATTTCTTCATGAAGTGGACCAGGCAACAAAATAATTCTTGGATATTCAGATTTAAATTTTTATGCATAATGGTAAGGAAGTCCGTCACAAACTACTACAATCCATTTTCGATTGCCATTATTAATTCCACTAATATTTTGAATATAATTAAAAATTTTGTAAATATTTTCAACAGAATTTAAATTAATTGATAAAGGATCGGGTACAAGAATATCAGGTATTTTAACACTATCTTGAGATTCCAAATTTTGTGTTATAGATTCATCCAATTTATCCAATTTATTTTTTTTAGGTTGATAAGGTTTAAAAGTTAATGGCTTAATTAAATCTTTCTCTTTCTTATTAAATATGATTTGTTCTTTTTCTTGTTGAGTTTCAGCAAGTATAGGAAGTTTTACATAACATTGTGGATATTTACACTTAGAGTTTTCAATGTCTTTTTTACCACAATCATAATATTGTTTTTGATTTTTTGTTTTAGTATTTTGATTAGTTATTAAATTGTCAATAATATTTATTTTTTTATTTTTTTCTGTACATAATTCAGTTATAATAGATGAAAGATAATCATGAAGTTGATAATCAAGCAATGTTTGCATTTCTGGAGTAAGGCCAAATAATTCTTCGATTTGGGATATATTAAGATTTTGATATAGTCAAGGGTTTTCAAAATTTTGTATTTGATTAGTAGGATTGAAGTTAAATAAAACAAAACTAGTGACCATATGAAAGATCACTTTATTATATCCACGATCTAAATAATTTTTTTGGCTTTTTTGTTTATTATCAAATGCCATAAATACCAAACCATTTGGAAATGGTTCTGAATTACCTGCTAAAGTTTCTTGCCAATTAATAAATTTGGTAAAACTACCAGTATTTATAATATGGCTATCAATATCAATTATCATTTTAGATTTTGCTATAGAGTATTTTATTGCCGATAGTACTAAATTAATTGAAGACACATATTTTAAATGTCTTATTTCATATATATTATCTATTGCTACGGCACATTTAAAAAGTTTTTCTCCTTTATAATAGTCTTCATTTTTATTATACATAAGAGTTTTTATAAATTCTACTACAACTGAATTACGTATCATAAGCCATTGAGATGAGGAATAATTTAAGAGACTATCTAAACAAAAGCACTCATAATTATTTATTAATTTAATGACATCATTATAAAAGGCAATTCGTTCTTGTTTGGCAATTTCTATAATAGCTTTAATACGTTCTTGTTGGTTATCATATTTATTATTTAATTTTTTTTTTAATAAATTATTTTCAAGTAGTAATTGTTGATTTAAATATTCTAATTTATTAATTTTTTTAATAAGCTTTTCATATTTGGGATTTGATAATGGATGTTTGGATAACGATACTTGAATCCCAAAATCATGAAAATTTATTTCATTATTAGACAAAACTTTTTTTTAGTTTTTTTCATTGGAACATAAAAACAGAATCATCAATTTTTTCTATTTGTTCAAGAAAAAAATTTTTAATGATTATATTGTTATAATGTTTTTGACATATAGAGTAATTATTCAAAGAATCAAGTAACGGTGATAATTTTGAAAGATATTTAACCAAACTCTTAACTTTATTCTCAACCATTGGAGCATTTGCATGTTACCATCTTTGTTTTTCAGGAGTTTTACATATTGCCAACTCACTTTTCGGATAATCCTCAACAAGAAAGTTAAATAAACAAGGTAAATCTTTGGCTTCTGTTCTTGAAATTGCCATGTCTATATACAAATATATATGTATTTTAAGCAAGAATAAAAAAAAAACTATACTATAAACTTTCGTGGATCCTTGTGGATTCTTAAACTACAAGTTTTGAAAAATGTATTTTGACAATTAGTTTTTTTAAAAAATTGGGCAAATTTTTTTTTTTTGATATCACGAAGTTTACAGTTTTGTATCGATAAGGATAATCATCTACCAATTAAATTTCAAGATATGATTTGGAATATTCTAGATCTGATTTCCAAATTGGGTAAAATACCGGGCTGTATTAGTTTAAACCATCTAACTTAAATAATTTAATTATATTAAAGGGTATTTACCTTGCAGAAATTAATAAAACAACCAGATATCCATACTTGATATTTTATATCCAATAAAATTTTTTTAAATTTTTTATATAGTATAATATAACGTGACGTGATGTAAGAGTACGTAAGAAATATGTAATTTATTGATACGCGTTACGCGTCAAACCTTTTGATATAAATAGGTGGGTTTTCACGTAAAATCAACCCAACCTACTTTTCCTCTCTAGCCTAAGAAATCCCTTCTTTGAAAAGACCTTATCT